GCTGGTTCCGTAAACCCTAAACCCTAAACCCTAAACCCTAAACCCTAAACCCTAAACCCTTGAGCTGGTTCCGAGACCCTAAAAAGCCTCGCATCAAATACTTAGTTCCCCAAGACCCAGCCTTTAAACTTCTGGGTTCTTATAATTTAATAGGAATTTATAAGGGTTCTTATGATTTAATAGGAATTTAAGGGTTCTTATGATTTAATAGGAATTTAAGGGTTCTTATGATTTAATAGGAATCGGAAAGTTTAACCTTTTATTTCCGTGGCTTATTGGGGTAATAGGAATACATCCCATGGCTGTTTAGGATGTCGCAAAGGCAATACACCGAGATCATCGAGGCACAAACGCATCGCGTGGGCACCGAAGCATAGCAGATAAGCACAGCCCTCTTCGATGAGACTCCCACAAGTGGCATCGAAAGCCTGCAGGTAAATACAAGCTGGCTTTCTGGCTTTCAGCACGGCAACGCATTCTCAGCAATGCAGTAGCGCCTTGCGAAGGCGTGCACCTCCCTGTCCCCAAAGCACTGGACGAAAAGGTCCTTGATCTATTTTAGGGGTCTAACTATTTCCCCATACTGTTTTGGGCAATCCTTAATACATGTATAGTAGAATGGGCCACAAAACCCTGTTCTAATATTTACGGCCCCTATAAAGAATGCACTCAAATCTTCCTCGTGGGTTACGGCCTCAAACCCTGAACCTTAAACCCTAAGCCTTAAAACGCCCTAAACCCTAAGCTTGAAGAGCCCTAAACCCTGGGCCTTCAAACCCTAAACCTAAAGACCCCAAACCCGAAGCCTTAAAAACCCCACACCCTAGGCCTTCACACCCTAAAACCCTAAACGCTAAAATATGGGGGGGGCGGGCGGGGGGGGTGGTATTTTATAGTTATCAAGACTATTGGTTATCAAGACTATTCTGTTGGAGATATAGTATAGTATACCCCCAAAAACCCTCGTCCAGTCATTTCATGCCCCTTCTTCCACGACCCTTTGAAGGACTCCAACAGCTCCCGCGTCTCCAAAAACCGGGCTCCGTCGAAGCTCTCTGGCTTTCCAGGGTTTTAGGTTTTTAGGCGGGTTTAGGATTCAGGGTTTAGGGTTTCGGATTTCGGGTTTTGGGATTTAAGATTTAGGGTTTAGGGTTTAGAGTTTCGGGTGTTGTGGATTTTTGATGCCTGTAGGGTTTTCAGTTTTTGGAGCTCGGTATTCTTGGGTGTTTTTAGCGTCTTAAGTTTTAAGATTTTGGACTTGTGTCGGTTAAGCTTGGGGGTTGGTTTGCGGCTTAAGGTTTGGTGTGTAGGGTTTCGGGTGGGGTTCAGGGTTTAGGGCTACACAGCTTGGAGGGTCAGGGGCCTATGAGAATTAGTATCTTAGTTGGTGCCTCCTCGTACAGATGTCGCGGCTTTCTCCGTGTCGTTTTGAGCTCGGGGTTGTACATCAGCTATAACTACAGTAACTTCGCCCATAATCCTACTTGATCATGTAAGAGAGGGCTTCGGAAGGTCATGACACAGGGTCTGAATGACTGGGCTTGGTTTTACTCAAAGGGGAAAAGGAGGGACCCTAGCTATTATATACCCATTATATAGCCCATTATAGGGTAGGGGTCCCCATTAAGGGTCCCTCCTTTGCGCCTTTGGGGCTTTAGGGGTTCAGGGCGCTACGCCGCTATGCTCCACTTCGAGCGTAACTTGTACCGTTGACATGGCACAGGCCCAAACAATGTGGGTTTAGGGGCGTTGCCAGCTGCAGTGGGTGCAGCTGTTTTGTCATACTCCGTTTGCATTTCGGTGTCCCTTCTTTTGCCAAAGTGGCTCTCCCACCTTGATGAAGCAAAGCATCCCTCAGAAACTCCCCCTCATGGGCCTGACAGTAAAGGCCAAGTCTCTGGGGATTTGGGATGGCACAGATGGTCGGAAGCCGCCGTTGCCACACAACCGGGATCGCGATGGTGCTCCCCTGGCCTCTACTTGGAGGGTCGGGGGACTTAGTAAGTAGGCAGTAAATCGACTTATAAGTACCCTAAAAGGGACCCTAATTGGGGTTATGGTACTTATAAGTCCCTAAAATAACCAGTTACTAAGTCCCCCGACCCTCCAAGTACCAGTTGGGGACTAACGCCGAAGATGAAGCCTTCGCGATGCGGTTCAGCAACCTTTCAGAGCAGGTTCTTGGGGCACATAGGCCTTCAACTATTATTAGTGATTAAGGTTGAGGGCATACGAAGGGGTTTTGAACAACTCCCCGCAGTACCCCAATCGCCCTTGGTGTAACTTTAGAATACCATAACCCAAAAACATGCTCGATTTGTTAGGCGCCAGCCTGTGATCAATATGGGCATGAGATGCAGTACAGCAGGAACCTGATCAAGAAACCCTGGCCTTCTTATAACCCCAATAAAGGGAACTCCAGAAAGTTGAAATAGGGATTAATGGTAGGATCCCCTATAATTTACCTTAAAGGGGTTACGATAATGATATTCCAACTTTGTGGCTTCTACCTTATATTGGGATTCATTTAAGGAACCCAAATAAAGGCCCAAGGTCTCTTAATCAGGTTCCTACGGTATCTTTTTCCATTGCTCGGCTCGGCCCTCAACCTCAACCGTCTAGAATCCGAATCCCCGAAGCCGAAAAGTTCGTACCTACAGTGATCCCGAGAAAGTTGGAACATTGATTTAGGATGATTCATGCTGGGATTCCCCTATACTTTACTTTAAGGGCATGAGGCTAGCGATGTTCCAACTTTCCGGCTTCTACTCTAACCGCAAATAAAGTGATAGCTTAGGATTTAGGCTCTAGGGCTCTAGCGCTTAGGGTTTTTTAACACTGGGAACTGGCTATTGAATGCTGCAGTAGAAGCTTAACGTTGGAAACCCAATAGCCTCAATCCTTAAGAGTAATGCATGCTTTGTCTTCCACACACAGGGCCACGAAGTCCTGACTCACGTCAGGGCGCCCAGAACCCAAACCCAAAAACCTTGAGCTCGAAAATGATTCGATAGAAAGTAGATCCCCTAATATGGGGCCCTATACTACTAATGGTACTTTATAGGAACCCCCATTAAGGGATCTACCCTGAACCCTAAACCCTAAAACCCTATAGATCCCTTAAAGAGACCCTTAAAAGGAACCCCCATTAAGGGATCTACATGACAGCCGTCTCAGGCGCAGCAATCAGTCGCTCGAGCAGGATGTTCTGCTCAGTCAGGGAGCAGGCTCCTCCGGTTTAGGTCATAGGGTTTAGGGTTTAGGATTTAGGGTTTAGGGTTTAGGGTTTAGGTAGGCCTTTGGGACATTTTATATATTTTCCCTTATTGGGCTTATAGGACCCTATTTACGACTTTTGTTCAGAGGCTTTAAGGAACCAACCTAGTAATTAATGTAGGGGCCTTTGTAGTTAGAACAGGGTTATGGGGGTTCCTGATTACCATGTTAGTAGACTATACGCCCAAAACCCCAGTCTAATTGTTATGGCCTCTACATTGATGATTTTTGTCCAGGGTTCCGCTCGATTGTTTCTGGATGTTTGTGGTAGAGAAGCCCACAAATCCCTGATCCGATAGGTCCGGCTTATGCCTGAAAACCAACGAGTTTTGGGTTTCGGGTTTAGCCAGCTCATCGAGTTTGAGAATTTGCGAGTTGACGATCCTGAAGCCTGCAAGGTTACTCTTCAAGCCTTAACTCAGAAGTCCTTGCTTGAAAGCTTTTAATTTGATCCTGAAACCGGAAAAGCCAACGAAAGCCCTCAGCCATGATCCCTAGCCTTTTGAAATCCAAGAAGCCTGAGCCTGAAAACCTATATGGGTTGTTGTCAAAGTTAGGGTCCCTTTTTGGGTCCTTAATATAATACGGCACCTAAAATATTGAGGTTAAAAAGGGACCATAGTTTTGACAACTACCCATATGCCGAATCCCCACGCACTCGATCTGGCATCATCATCTTGCAGCCCTTACGCAAGACGAAGCCGGGAATCCCCCTGCCTCTTAAGCCATCCTAGGCCTGAAAAGATATTCCCTGAGCCCCAAAACCCTAGACCTCGAGCCCAGACCATCTACAGCAACCCAAAAAGTTTAGGGTTACCTACACTCAGTCTCCATTATTACGGTCAGGATCCTACAATATAAGTTTTGTCTAACCGAGAAAAGCAACTACAATGAAGACTGGTATATAGGGGCTTCAAGACATGTTCCCCGTATTATTTTTATAGTATAGTGCGCCCCAGAACCCTATTCTAATCATTAAGGCCCTTATATTAAACTCTCAAACCTCTAAACCCTAAATCCCAGACAGCCTCAATACTATTTTGGGGTTTCCTTATTATATTTAGAGTATAATGGGCCCCTATATTAGGAAGGGTCCCAGGAGGTGCCAGTCTGAGAATGCACGGCCCCATCAGGACTTTAGCAGGCTTGTGTATGGTTTCCGTGGGTTTAGGGTTTATAGGGGGGTTAGGGGTTTAGGGATTTAGGCTAAGACACTTTCCTAAGCGGGCTTCGGCTCGAGCAGCTGGAGCAGGATAAACCAAGCAGTGAAGACAATGATACTCCTCAAAGTGACGACTCCTAGGGGGTCCAACAAGGGACGCGGGTGCTACACTGCTCAAGTGCACCGAAACGGCGTTCTAAGCAATTCTCAGAGTGCGTTTTGGGTAGCTGTAGGGTGCAAGTATTTGGGGAGCTGTAGGATGAAAGTAGACACTAAGGCTTTTTGCCTTGCTCGCTACGACCGCCCTCAGAAGTGCAATGCCGATTTCGCTGGAGGTGCATCTGCTCAGTGGAAAGAAGGCATCTCTGGAAGTGAACGCAGATGCATCAGTTGAGTCTCTGAACAGGTGTGCCCAGAGTGCCCTAAATGCTGGTAAAGGCAGGCTGTTGAACTCTTCCGGGGAGGTACTTGATGGAGCGTCAAGTATCAAAAGAGCAAGGCTGCAGAACGGTGACGAGCTGACCCTGCGTGTGAAGCTGCCCGCAGTTGCAGCTACGAAACGATGCCTGAGGACGGTGGCGACAGCAGTGCTGTACAGCAGCAGCTGCAGGATGTCCGGCACATCCAAGCTTCTGGTGGTGCATTTGCTGCAATACGGGGCGATGGATCTGTTGTCACATGGGGGAATACTCACTATGGTGGCGACAGTAGCTACGTCCAGGAGCAGCTGAAGAACGTCCAGCAGATCCAAGCTTCCGGAGATGCATTTGCTGCAATCCTGGGTGATGGATCTGTTGTCACATGGGGCAATGATGACCATGGGGGCGACAGCAGCTCCGTACAGGAGCAGTTGAAGACTGTTCAACGAATCCAAGCCACTGATGTTGCATTTGCAGCTATCTTGGCTGACGAATCTGTCGTCACCTGGGGTAATGCAGAGCTGGGTGGCGACAGCAGTGCTGTGCAGCAGCAGCTGCAGAATGTCCAGCAGATCCAAGCTACCGCTTACGCATTTGCTGCAATCTTGAGTGATGGATCCGTGGTTACATGGGGCGATGCCGACTGCGGTGGCGACAGCAGTGCCGTACAATCACAGCTCAAGAACGTGCAGCAGATCCAAGCTTCTGGAGGTGCATTTGCTGCAATCCTGCGTGATGGATCCGTGGTCACCTGGGGTGATGCCGATTTTGGTGGCGATAGCAGTGCCGCACAGGAGCAACTGAGGAATGTGCAACGGATCCAAGCTGGTAATCAAGCGTTTGCCGCAATCTTAGGTGATGGATCTGTGGTCGCCTGGGGTAATTCCGAGCTGGGTGGCGACAGCAGTGAGGTGCAGGATCAGCTTCGAGATGTGCAGGAAATCCAAGCTTGTGTTCACGCATTTGCTGCAATTCTGGGTGATGGATCTGTGGTCACCTGGGGCGAGGCTGACGCCACAGCTGTACAGCAGCAGCTGAAGAATGTCCAGCAGATCCAATCTTCTGCTCGTGCATTTGCTGCAATACTGGGCGATGGATCTGTTGTCACCTGGACCTGGAAGTTTGGTGCCGTACAGGAGCAGCTGAAGAATGTGCAACACATTCAAGCCTCAGAGGTCGGATTTACTGCGATCTTGGGTGACGGATCCGTGGTCACCTGGAATGATCCATGGCGGTGTTGAAGGGAGCGGCTGAAGACTTTGCCGTGAACTTGTGGCCGTCCCTTCCATGGTAGCTTTTGTCGCCCAACCCTATGTCCGATACCTTCCTGCGCAAGACAAAGGGGTACCTTTGAAGGGATCCTTAAAGGGTTCCTTAAAGGGATCTATAAGGGTTCTATAAAGGGTTTAGGGTTTGGAGTTTCCGAATATTAGGGGTACCTTATATTGGGGTCCTTGTAATAAGGATCCTACTATTTAGGGTACTATACTAGGGTCCCCCATTGTCGGAAACTCCCAGTTGCCCCAAGATAGAAGCCCGAATAGATAGTAGCATTAGTCCCCGGACCTGCTATTGCAAGTAGAGTATGATATACCCCCAAACTTCTAAGCCATAAACTTCAAGCCCTACAGTAACGGAGCCTCAGAGAATTGTCTAAACCCTGCAGAACCCCCCACAAAGAACGTGCCAACCCACAGGAATGCATTCCTTTGGGGTGTGGCGACGGTGCTCCCTGAACCTCAACCATCCTACCCCTTGCTTGGAGGGTCGGGGGACTTAGTAACTGGTTATTTTAGGGACTTATAAGTACCATAACCCCAATTAGGGTCCCTTTTAGGGTACTTAAAAGTCGACTTACTGCCTACTTACTAAGTCCCCCGACCCTCTAAGTGCATCCTTATGAGAGGTGCCTAACCCCAGTCCGAAAACCTTCAACCCTGAACCGCACACTCTCAACCCTGAACCCGGCGGCTGAAATCTCAACCCTGAACCGTAAACTCTCAACCATGAGCCCGAAGCCACGGCTTGAAATCAACCGCTGAACGGACAGGTGCGGCAAGTGCGCTGATGGTGTCCAAGCACTCCATCAACCCATCCTTGCGGGGATCCGTAAAGGAATCCTTCAATGAGCTCGACTCACAGGAGCGAGTTTAGGCGTTTTGGGTGCTCGCTGGCTTTAACTTCGAAAAGGTGAAGGTTTTGGGGCTTAGGAGTAAAGGTTGCTACGGCAGCTTCGAAAGGTTTAACGGGCTCTTTACAGCTTTCCAAACGAGCTAAGGTTCAGGGTTGAAAGGATCTTAGGCGGGTTCTAAGAACTCATATGTTAAGGGCTTTGGGCCCAGACGCCTCGTTTGGTGTTTACGATGTTTGGGGTTGGATCAACATGTTAGGAACATGAGCGGCGATAATCGTCATAGTCTATCAGCAAAAGCTAAAGTGGTCTTCTAGGACCTTACGGCACATGATAAGTCTTTAGTCCTTCAGAGCTTTAGGTTTCGGGATTTTGGAAAATCCGTAAACCACCCTAAACCCCCTTAATTTTTGCGGTTTTGGGCAGAGGAGGTGCTTTGGAGATCTTTCGATTGAAGTGTTCTTTGTAAGATAGAGTTTAGGGTTTAGGGAAGTTTAGGGTTTAGGCTTTAGGGGTTTAGGGTTTAGGGTTGCTTCCTGTAAGTACGGGGATCCCCGAAAAGCTTGTCTGTTTGCCTTCTACGAGCAGTAGCTAGGATGCCCAGTAGTACCCTTGTTCCCTTTTTGTAGTCCTAGGTTCCTTATAAAGTTACCCAATACCAAAAAGAGAGGCCTTTTTATTCTTAGGTTACTGGGTATCCTAGGTAGGCATGGTCAGTAGGCCAGTAGGTTGTAACTGGAGTTCTGTATACCAACTTGGTTACTCTGCCTCCTTCCCGACCCGTAAAGTATAATACAGTTTAAGAAAGAAGCCTCAAGAATTGCCGTGATACTTCCTTGGCTCGGTAGCGTACATGTACGACCATCTGGCCGGAAACCTTGTTCAGATGTTTGAAGGCCCCTTCACTGCCCGTTCAAAAAATTGATCCTGGAGACCAATTGAACCTTACACCCAGCAGCTTCCCCAAATTCTAAAGCCCTAAACCCTGACACCCTAATAAAGCCCCAAAGCCCAAAACCCCAATATCCGTCCATAGCCCCAACATCCTAAACCGTGACACCCTAAGCCCAGAACCCCTACACCCTAACTCCCTAAACCCCTACACCCTGAACCCTAAAGCCCTGAACCAGGAGTATGGCATACCACAGCTGCAATCGTCAAGCTCTATGGAGTCCACAGCGCCTCAGATTGATTTTGGATTCAGTGTGAGTATAGGTGTCTGAACAGCTACTTAAAATAGTTTCAAAAACTCTCGCATAGCCCGCATATGAGTGGCATCTACACGAAAACCCCATTCCAGTTATTGCAGCCACGATACTGTCTGTTTTGGTGTTGGGTTTTGGTGTTGTACGGTTTGAGGTTTAGGCGACGTGTGCAGCAGAAAACTGCAAGCTCAGTCCGTGCCATGGAGCTCGTTTGGGATCGGAGCTTCGTCCGTGTAGGGATTAGGGCTTCAGGTTCGGGCTTCAGGGTTCAAGATAAATTTTTGGGTGCTGCTCCTGCATTTGCGGGACCTCCTGAAGTTATTTGTCTTACCTTAGGAGACAGTTTCAGCATATAGATTCTGTTTCGGGGCTTGGGTTGGCTATGGGTGCAGATTAGCATATCAGTCTTGAGGATATAGAAATCTAGCTTGGAAGAGGTGGCAATGAGATATGCTCAAAATAGAACCTAGGTTCCTGAGTAGTACCCTTTTGATCTTCTTCTTCTTTCAGGGTCCCCTTTATTAAAACCGAATAGTAGGAACAAGGGTTCCCTTGTTATAAAGGGGTTAGTCAGAAACCTAGGAACCGATAAGTTGTACTTGAAGATTCGCGGGTAGTTACAAGTGGAGTTATAAGTTCCCTAAATGGGTTATAATTATGGTTACCCCACAAAACATCGCAGGTAGAATCGACACCGGTGTCCTCGACTGCCCCTGATTGATACACTTCCTCCCCTCGAAAGCTTCGCTTAGTGTTTAGGGATGATAACAAAGGTTCAGATATTTTCGTCAGCAAAGTTCTGGTAGAGAGTATAAATAAAAGTCCCCGGACATAAACCGTATAATCCCTAGCACCAAACCCTAAAGGTTTGCAAGGATAAGGGTTTTGAGGGGTCTTTGAGGAGTCTCTGTGGCGTTCGGGCTTGCCTGTGATTGGTTCTCTGTGTAGGAGCGACGTGCGCGGCAGAACGGTGCACCTTCAGGCCGTGTATGGGGCCTTTCATGGGCGCAGAGGTTCAGTCGTTTAGGGTTTGGGATACCAAAAAATCCCAAAAGCCCTCCTTAATTAACTTTAAACCAAAACCCTAAACCCCTAAACCCAAAACCCGTAACCCAAAACCCAAAACCCCTTAACCCCAAAACTCTAAACCCTCAACCCTTACACCACAGACCAAAACCCTAAACCCCTAACCCATAAACCCCAAAATCACCAGCCCAAGACTTAGGGCGGACTGGAAAAGTTGGCTAGCACCGGGACAGGCTTGGGGTAGCGTTCTATATCTTAATGCAGGAACCTAATGAAGAAACCCTGGGCCTATAACCCCCAAAATAGTGGATTCATATAAAGAACCCCAATAAAGGCCCAAGGTTTCTGAATCAGGTTCCTACATTAGGTATTTTGGAGACCCCTTGAAGGAGACCCTTCTGAACCCCACTTCTGGCTCTCTTAAAGGGGGAATATTGAGAGGGTCTCTATTCCATGTCCCCAAGGGTCCCCCGAATCCTACGTCCTACTACAAGCAGGAGCCTTGGTTTCGTTGCAATACTTCTTCAGACCGAGGCAATTCTTCCTAATCCTTTCGCAAATCTGATAAGGAGACTAGAGACTAGAAACAGACAAAACCTCTTAAAATAGTGGTGGCGCCAACACCCCCAAACCTGGAAGCCGAGAACCAAACTGGCATCTTGAAACCCCCCAAGCCTACAAAAGGAGCCCAAATCCATAAGACCAAACTATGCCCCTACCCATAGGCCCCATAGTAGTTCCTTTTTGGGATTACCTTATAGGATTCTACATATGAGCCCGAAAAAGGAACCACTATGGGGCCTATGGGTAGCCCCTGAACCCTAAACCCCCTGCAAGCAGGTGGCATGAACGGCGTGGTTCCACCAGCACCGAAAGATCCACCATCTGCCCTGCATCAGCCATCGCTGCGCACACCCTCCGCCTCCGAGGGTTGTCTGGCCGCAAAAGGGTTCTCTTGGGCTTGCAATTCCGGTTGAGGGCTTTGGGTTTAGGGGTTCGGGCTTCAGGTTTAGACGACGGCTGCTGTCCTTTCGCGTTCGATTTCCGGTAGTTCCAGTTTCAGATTTGGGTTTGTGCTCCGGGGGTCGGGATTAACGGGTTCTTCGTTCTCGAGTTTGGGGTTTTCGAGTGTTTAGTGGGGTCGGGACATTTGCACTCGGTACCAACCCTATCACGTAAACCCTAGATCCGCGACAGCCTCTCAGAAATACATCGTTTACACCTGCACTGCCAGCTTGCGAAAGCACCTAGAACTTGGACTCAGCGCGCCACACCCTCACAGATCATGAAAACGAAAGTTGTGATTGCTTTCTGAATTGCAGCACGCCCCAGAGCTTAAGCTTGCGCTGTGCACCCGTCTTGAATCAAGCTGTAGAGGGCACGGCAAAGAGACTTGAACCACCCACTACACTTGTTCATTCTATTATATTACTTCCGCAGGAACGAGCAGCAAAAGTTGATTTAGTTTCAGAACCCAACAGAAGCTCCAGATTCCCCTAAACCCTAAACCCCTGCAGTTGGAAAAGTGCACACCAAAAAGAGCTAAACCCTAAACCCCCACCACTGAGGACAGTCGCACAGCTCTCCGAAGGTAAAGCTGACGTCGCAGACGAGCATCGTCGAGCGACTCGCTCCGACCACGGAGAGCTTCGTAAATTCATAAGACCGGAGCCCCAAGTTCGAGTGGCCTCACATACACAGATGGATAGGTAGATAGAAGATAGACAGCCAGATACACCTTCCTATATCTCTGTATGCATATATAGCCATATGTAAAAATCTATTTGATATGTATGTATGTATGTATGTATGTATGTATGTATGTATGTATGTATGTACATACATATATATATATATACACAGATACAGATGATGAAAA